TTTTCTCTGGACAGCATTCCTCTCCTGAACAGCTCTCATTCCTTTGGACCCAAATAACTCACCAAGCTAACTCCTACTCATCCCACCGTGTGTCTGCTTAGTCATCAATTTCTCCCAGAAGCCCTCCTGAACTGTGTATATGACTCTTCACGTGCCTCCCTAGAACCCCATAACTCCTTATTGTCGTACTTACAGTGATTTATAATTGCTTCTTGATTGGTCTAGATCTCCCACAATGGTCTGTCAGAGTGTGGACTGTGTCTAGCTCACTGCTATATCCCCAGTACTTTTCACAGTTCCTACACATCAATAATCACTGAACGAATGGTTATAGACACTGTTAATCTCCACCTAGAATCGAGTCCCCTTCCTCTACTGGATGTTGCTATATCTGCTGGAACCATGGACACTCTGGCCATCATCACAGAAGCTAACTTGAGAATGGCAGGGCCATTCTCAGACTGTCTGAGAAGATAGGAAAGACTGGGTCTTTTGAGATATCATTGAGCCAGTGAATTAACCAACTCTGCATCAACCTACATTCAGACTTCTTGCTACATGAGAATATAAGCACCCTTCTTGTTGCAGCTCTTTGAGCTACATGCAGCCCAAAGCATCACAAGTGAGAGACTGAGTGAATGAATGAATGGATTACTCCATCCTTACTCCATCCACTAGCATAAGAAAGCCAACTCCCCTACAATCAAGTTAAGGTCTTGTCTTGGGGAACTTGAAAAACTGCTTACTGTTCTTAAGAAAGTCAAGGTAATAAGACAATAAAATCTTGACTGTCTGGAAGTTAGCTTATAGTTTTATGGATAAACTTTTAGGTGAAAGCTGCACTTTGCAAGGGAAAAGAACCTCTTACTAGGGCTTTAAAAAAACAAAGAATATTCTTAGAGAAGTTTCAGAGTCAATAAACATTCCTTCCAATCTCCTAAATGTTAGCAAGCATAAGCATAACTTGGAGACCTTTAAAAGCCAATTCCTGGGCCTCACCTCTGAAGATTCAGATTCAGTGTGATGTGTGAGTCCAGGAACCTGAATGTTAGCGAGCATTCTGATGTGGATGGTCTGCAAGACCGCACTTCAAGAAACCCTAGTCTAAAACTTCCACTTTATATCAGTGGAACCAAACCACAGGAAATGGTGTTTCACCCAATAATTGAGGGAACATATTCCAATGATGGAAAGATCCAGAAGATGGGAGCTATATTTTGGCTTATCTATTCACCAGAATAAGACACTGATTAGGCAAGTCACTTAGACCCCCCAAGTCTGTATATCCCCATTTATTAAAAACAACGTGGATCAATAGTCCTTTGCCTTGCTACCCCTCAGACCTCTTTTAAGGACCAAACGATCTCAGTAGATGTAATGTACAAATATAAGAAAATGCTCTTTGCTAGGACTCTGGTGTTCATTGTGCTCCTTAATAAAAAAAAAAATCATCTGTGTTCATTAGGTTATATTCGTTACAAAAGAAATGGGGACTCACATTTTAGAAAGACTGCTACATTTTCAAACTGTAAGGGGGATTTTGCTTACTTTCCAGTTAACCTAGAACTTGTTAACCAGAACATCCCATTCCTAAGCATTCAAACTAACTGAGATTTCATGTAAATAATGTAACTTTATTAACAATAATGTGCATTCATGAGGAGACTCCCCATCAAAGGGAGCTTCCTTGACTTGGGCAAAAATTAATGGGCCTACCAGCCACAGAATGGGGGGAAATATCTGCAAATCATATATCTGATCTGGGTTAATATATAGAATGCACAGAGAACCCCTAAAACTCAACAATAAAAAAAGCTGCTGATTCAAAAATGGACAAAGGATTTCAGCAGACATTTCTCCATTTGAATGGCCAATAAGCACATGAAAAGATGCACAAGGGGGGGGCTGGGGGTGGAATGGACAGAGGGGGAGGGAGAAGCAGACTCCCCACTGAACAGACCCTGAGATCATGACCTGAGCTGAAGGCAGACACTTAACCGACTGAGCCACCCAGGCATCCCATGTGAATGTATTTAATTCCACCGAACTGTACACTTAAAAACAGTTAAAATGATCATTGTTATGTGTATTTTACCACTATAAGAAATCCATTAAAAACTATTAATGGGCCCAAGATAACAAACTGCATGATTCCATTCATATGACCTTGACCTCTGGAAAAGACAAAACTGTACTACTGAGAACAGAGTAGTGGTCTCCAGTGGCTAAAGGTGGGGGAAGGATGTAACTTCAAAGGAGGGAGTTTTTTGGGGTAATGAAACTATTCTAGATCCTCATTGTGTTGGTGGTTACAAGAACCCTTACTTGTGCTAAAATTCATAAACTGTACGCAAACGATAAGCACCTTTACTATATGTTAATTTAAAAGATAAAATTAATTAATTGGCCCAACTTGAGGTTATTATTTTTCTTGCCTCGACAATAGTAGCCCAAAATGTTGAGGTTTATGGAGACACAAAAGAAGAATCAAAGATGCAGGCGGGTAGGCAGGAAGAGAGAATGAGAACATGCAGGCTGGGTTAACAACTGTTCTGAGTACTTTTTCACTGACTTTTCTTTTGAGAGTTGTCCCCTAAAGCTCAGTCTTATTTATTTATTGAGGTGTCCTCCTCCTCTTCCCAAGGGTGAAACTATTCTGATTGCCAGTAATTTCGTGGTTTCTCCTACAAGGCACTAAACACTTTAGTCCAAAGTTGATTTTTAGGTGGAACTTAACTTTCCAGATTACCTCATACCCCAACAATACTCAGAATGGTTAAGCTTTTTTTTTTTTTTTTTTAAGGTTTATTCATTTATTTGAGAAAGAGAGTGGAGCATGAGTGAGCATGTGCCTGGGGGTGGGGGGGAGGGGCAGAAGGGGAGAATCTCAAGCAGACTCCTCACTGAGCAGGAGCCCCATCTCATAACCCATGAGATCATGACTCATGAGATCAAGACCTGAGCTGAAACCAAGAGAGTGACTGAGAGAGAAAGAGAGCCAGAGTGAGTGGGGGGGCAGAAGGAGAGGGAAAGCAGGCTTCCCGCTGAGCAGAGAGCTGGATGGGGGGCTCTATCCCAGGACCCTGAGATCATGACCTGAGCAGAAAGCAGACACTTACTGACTGAGCCACCCAGGGCCCCCAGAATGGTTAAGCTTTTAAAGCAAAACCCTCTCTAACAGTTCCAACATTTGAATTCAGACAGAACCCAGGGAAAAGGCATTTTCCATCGTGGCTCTCCTCTTTACATTTCAATTGCCCCCTCTTGATTGGAGCTGCTAGAGATATAACTTCAGACAGATCCATAATTTTAAATTTTTTAGTAGCTACCTTTAAAAAGTAAACACAGCAAGTAAAATCAACTTTAATTTTATTTAACCCAGTACATCAAAACATCATCATTTCAACATATAATCAATATAAAAATTATTAATGAAATATTTTGCATTCTCTTCTCTGTACTGCCTTTGAAATCCAGTGTGTTGTACACTTAAAGTACATCTCAATTTAGATTAGCCACATACCAGTAGCTAGTAGCTGTTGCATAAGACAACATAGATCTAAGACTATTCATTTTTAAAGCCCAATGCAAACAGCCTTTCACCATCTGGACTTTGATCATTATCGAATATTTGAGCCTCTGCCTACATTGTTCATTCATTCATTGGTCAACAAACCCTAGGGTGTCTACTAGCATCAAGCTTTGTGCTAGAAACTAGAAACACAAAAAGGAACAAGGACACATCGTATGCCCTAAAGCTCAGTCTGCCAGGATGAGAGACACATAAAGAGACAATTACAAAATAACGTGTAAGAATCATGACGGATGCACTTTATTTTACGAGCACCTGAAAGGGGAAGGAAGTGCCATAAATGTAGTTCTAGAGGTGGCCCTGAGCAGCCTCTGAGGATGTCTAAGTTTAGTTCTATTAAGGGGATGGGTAAGGGCATTCCAGAGGTGCCAGCTGGAGCAAAAGCACTGAAAAAATGAGGGATCACGGGGCCCAGGGAACCTCTTAAGAGTGCATGTTCCTGCAAAGATGAAAGAAAGTGGATTCGTAAGCAAGGCCAGCGTAGGACCGGATTAGTCAGGTTTAGCTCCTAAAATAAAAACCTCCTACACTTCCTAAAATTTCAGAAGAGGTAACGGTCTCTGTAAGAATCGAGGTGAAACGCAAATGACACTGGATTTAACCTTTTGCTGGTAACAGTCACTGGTCCGCGGTACAAGCTGCCCCGGAGCACCCTACCTCTACCCCCTCCCGTCCCCCTCCCGCCCCCACCCCCGGCCGGGCACAGTGGCCGCTAGAGCGTTCACAGCGGCTGGGGGTCCTTCCTTCATTCTTTCCCCTCGAGTCCTCCCTATCTGCCTCTGCCGAGTGGAAAAGGGGTAAGGGTGCCCACCGTCCAGAACTGCTGTAGAACTCAAATGAATCTACAGAGAGCGCCTTGAGAAATGAAAAGGTGCATCTCGTGGCCTTGCGGGTACGAAGCGACCTGACTGCCGCGGTCAAGGCCAAGTTTGCACTCTCCCTGGCCAGGTCAGGAGTCCTCGGCCAAACTGCAAGGTGACAGACCCAGGGCCCTGGGGCGCTCCCAGCGCACCTCTTCGGAGGCAATCCGACGCGTGACCGCATAACGCGACCCTCGAGGAGGCGCCACCTGAAGAGGAGCTGCGGCAGCACCCGGCCCCCGCACTGCGGCCGCTCGCGCCGCCGCAGCCTCCCTCGCCGCAGGGCGCAGTTGACCCCACCAGCGCGCGTGTTCCCCAACCACCCCTCCCAGCGCGTCTGCGAGGAGAGGGTGGAGCGGCCTGACTCCTGCAGCCAATAAAAGCCTCGGCTTCCTGGTCCGATCCCCGGCGCGGCTCGCCATTGGTCGCCAGCCGGGTCTCGGCCCACCGAACCTTTGCGACCCGAGCCAATCGCGAGGCGGCGAGGCGACCCCCCGACTCCCCGGGAGCGGCCGGCGGGCGGCGCGGGCGCAGGCGGGCGCGGAGCGGGTGGCGGTGACAGGCGGCGTGAGCCGGCACTCCCCTCCCCCGCGCGGCGCGCCGCCGGCCCCACCATGGAGCCCGCCGTGTCGCTGGCCGTGTGCGCGCTGCTCTTCTTGCTCTGGGTCCGCGTGAAAGGGCTGGAGTTCGTGCTCATCCACCAGCGCTGGGTGTTCGTGTGCCTCTTCCTCCTGCCGCTCTCGCTTATCTTCGACATCTACTACTACGTGCGTGCCTGGGTGGTGTTCAAGCTCAGCAGCGCGCCTCGGCTGCACGGGCAGCGCGTGCGGGACATCCAGAAGCAGGTGAGCGGCGCCGGCCGGGGCGGGAGCGGGTCGGCGGGACTCGGCCGTGTGCGCGGGTCGCTCCGCGCTGGGCGCGAGGTGGCGTGCGGTACACCGAGAGCCCGGACTTCGCCGAGGAGGCGGCGGTGGATGGGGGGGTTGGAACTCAAAATGCGATGGTGGGGGCTTCCCGGGGAGGGAACGGAGTGAGCAGAGGCATTCAGGGGACAAAACGTTGCTCGGTGTTTATGGAGTGTCTACTCTGTGCGGAGCACGTGCGGCTTCCCCAGAGGGATAGAAAGGATCACGAGATAGGGGAGAGCGAGCGGTGCACAGGTGGCTGCCTCCAGGCGCGAGCGATCTCGGAGACGGAAGGGCTTCTGGGAGGTGGGGCTGGCACTAGACCCTGGGAAGTAGGGGAAATGATAGGAGGAAGGTGTGTCTGGTGGAGGGTTGGGTGTGAGCCAAGGCCCAGAGGGGGAGAGGGGTGGAAAGTCCCTTCGGAACTAGGTTGGGGCGGGGTCTTGAGTTTAGAGTTTACTCTGTAGCAGCAAGGAGCTTTTGGCTTATTTAGAAGGACCAAAGTGAGAAGGTAGCCCCGAGCCAGGGTCAAGAGCCTCACGGCCCTGGGCCTGGCGGGCAGTGGCGCGCACTCGTTGAGGAGGCATCCCCAGTAACTCCACATCCTCCCCAGTGTCTGCGCCCACAGAGCCCGGGCCCCTGCTGCTGCTCACAGTGGAGCCCCCTTCTCCACGCCCAGGGTTGGCCTGGGCATTCTTGGCTCCCTCTGCCCCTCCTTACGTTCCTCTTAGGAGTGTCTGGTTGCAAAGAGCTTCTGTTTCCTGCCACCAAGCTCAGCGCAGGTGTAGCAGCGTCCATGTTCTGTGGGTGCGGTGATGGGCGCAGCAAGCAAGAGTGGGAAGATGGATGCTGAGGGCCACCCCTAGGAGGGGTAAGACCTCCGGCTGGTGGCAGAATGCAACGTCTAGAACTGCTTTGCATGGGCTGTCCTGGGTTCAACTGGTCACAGTCACAGCTCCAGAGCCCTGCCTACCCTCCCTCCCCAACTGCGCCCTCTTTTCCTAACTCTATCCACGGTTCTGATTCTCCCATTTGCTTGTTTGTGGTTCCCCCATCCCCCTCCAAGCTGAGCGTGAGCTCCTGGAAGGCAGGGACCATCGTCCAACTGGGGCCTGGCCCAGAGCAGCCCAGGGACTTTGTACAACCTTGCCTCCCAGACCAGTTCTTGCTCGGTTCCCATCAGGATCTAGTCCAACGGATGGTTCAGACTTTAAGGCTTCCACACTCACTTCATGCAGCCCACCCAACAGCTGAATGCAGCACCCACAATCCATTTCCCACACCGCTGAGTGCGTATGAAGCCCTTGTTTACCTAAACGAAGCCAAAGGTTGTCACTGGACAGGAAGACAAGGGGCTTGGCCAAACCAGCCCACTGAGCTGGACCTGCCATGTGCCATAGTCCATGCCCCTTGATGTCCATCATTTCTGATCTCACAGCAACCTTGATAGGTCTTGTACCTGTTTTACAGATGGGAAAATTGAGGCTGAAGTGGTAGTCATGTGTTCAAGGTGATCAAGCTAGTAAATGGGGCTGGAACCCAGGTCAGCCTGGTTTTAGAGCCTCAATTCTGACCCTTTCTCCTTTCCCATCCCTTCCCATTCCACCCAGTAGGTTTGGTTCTGTTGCCTCACACCTGGCTTGTGATAATAGCCCCCTGACTGGTTGACCTTCTCGGCCCTCCCCACCTCTCTCTGGCTTGCACATACTCACATCACAGGGCGGACTTCGTACAACCTTGCCTCCCGGCCCAAATTCTTGCTCAGTTCCCATCAGGATCCAGTCCAACCGGTGGTTCAGGCTTTAAGGTTTCCACACTCACTTCGTGCGGCCCACCCAACTGCTGGAATGCAGCACCCACAATCCATTTCCCACACCACTGAGTGCGTATGAAACCCTGGGATCATAGAGTCAGGCGGAGGCCCAATGATCATTGAATCCCTCCTCTGGTCCTTTCACAGGAATCTCTTCCTCAGTAACCCTCCTCTGCTCGTACACCTCTATTCACAGGGCACCCTGGCCTCTTGATGATTAGGAAAGTTCTCCCCCTTGTTGAGCTGTTTGCCCCATCAGTTTCAATGCAACCTCCTCCACGACTCTTGGTTGCATGTGATAGGAACTCAGTTCAGACTGGCCTGAGCAGAGAGTGATTGTATTGACGCAGGTCCTGAAAAGCCCAGGAATAAAACTGGCTCAGGTATGACTGGATCCAGGAGCCCCTGTCCTGATGTTGTCTTTCCATCCATCCACCCTCTGTTGGCTCGGCTTTCCTCTGGGCTGATTCATTCTCAGGGAGGCCCATCTCCCTGTGGAAACTCCAGCAGTTTCATCCAGCCAGTTCAGCAATCCCAGTAAAAGGAGAGTCTCTCTCTTAGAACTGGCCGTATTGCCTTGACTTGGACCCTAGGCCCATCCCTGAACTGGTCACTGCGGCCAGAAGGATGGAATCAGACCTTAGTCGTGTTTCCACCTTCGGGGGCAGGAGAAGACTCAGCATCACCTGGACCAAAGGAAGATGGGACTGTTAGAAGCATATGAAGAGGAGACAGATGGTCAGAGGTCACGGCAACAGATGTCCATGGGAGGGAACACTTTGTGCTCCTGATGGGTTTGGCATCTCCTGGGCCATTTGCTGTCTCTGTTGTGTGCCCTGGTCACTTACAGTGGAGGTTTTGCAAAAGCTCTTCCTTCCATCGGCTTGGTGGTCCTCCTCTGCCCCTTCTCTCCCCCTCCAAGTGACGACATATGAGTTAACATACGCATGCTTAGAACGGGGCTTGGCACACAGGCCCAGTAAGTGTTAACTGTTACTCTATTCTTGACTATTAACACAAGCCCGTCTATCTTTCCAGGCCTGAAGTTGGACAGTTCTGGTTGTGAATCCGGGCTCTGCCCTTCACTGTTGAGTGACCAAGTTATTTTGCTGCTTGGCTTTCCGCCCTATGAGAGGGGGCTGGCCACCCCCCTCCTGGGGTTGTGGTGAGAAGTAAATGAGCCAGTGTACAGTAGGTGCCTGGGTGCCTGGCACAGTGGGGGCACCCGGTCGATGGTTATCACTCGTAGAGCTGTATCATTACCGCTCCAGAGCCTTTGCTGAGCTTCCCAGTTAGGGTTGTTTGCAGACGCACTCTGATCCTGCGTTTTCGCTCTTTCTCCCTCCTGCTTGGTGGAGGGGCAACACTTCAGCCTTTCTGTTCGCCTCGCCAGCCAAGGAGGTTTCAGAGGGAAAGGGCTGTGGGCCTTCCAGGCCCGGCAGGATGCAGGGGCTCAGTAAATGTTTGACACGTGAAGGCATCCCTCCAAGCTCCCTCTCCTGAAAGCAGGGCTGCGAGCTGCTCTGGGGACCCTCCGGCGGGGCTAGCTGAGCCTCTGTCCCACGGTTGCAGGTGCGGGAATGGAAGGAGCAGGGCAGCAAGACTTTCATGTGCACGGGACGCCCTGGCTGGCTCACTGTCTCGCTGCGGGTTGGGAAGTACAAGAAGACACACAAAAACATCATGATCAACCTGATGGACATTCTGGAGGTGGACACCAAGAAACAGGTGAGAGGGGCTGAGTTCCCAGGCTCTGGGAGCAGGTGGGATACTATCCCTGGTGTGAGTGACTCACAGGGAGACAATTGTAGCCAGAGGATCCCAGTCCTCACAGAAGGCTCTGCCCTCCTTCAAAACCTCATAGCTTTGGAAGAGATCAATCAGAGCCCCATCCCCCAGGTGGGCACACTGAACTCAGGGAGACTTGTTGATTGTCAACAGTTCCCCAGGAAAAAAGTATGGGGAAATCATGGGCAAAGATGAGAGACAAAAATGGAACCTATTTATCCCTTCCCAGTAAGGAAGTGTGCTGGTAAAAAGAGGGCTATGCAGGTGGGAGGAAAGGTGGGCCTTCTTCCAGGCTTCCTGGGGACCCACTTGTTAATAGCCTTACACATGTGCATACTCTTTGGTCTACCCAGTAATTTTTCTTGAAACCTGGCACAAGGAAAAAGGAAATAAGTTTAAATCAAAGACAACACAGAGGGATTATGTCAGTCCTTCCTTCCTTCCTTCCTTCCTCCCTCCCTCCCTTCCTTCTTCTTTCCTTCCCTCCCTCCCTTCCTTCCCTCCCTCCCTTCCTCCCTCCCTCCCTTCCTTCCTTCCTTCCTTCCTCCCTCCCTCCCTATCTCCCTATCATAGCTCTATTTCTTTTTTTTTTTCTTTAAGATTTTATTTATTTATTTGAGAAAGAGAATGAGATAGAGAGAGAGCATGAGAGGGGGGAAGGTCAGAGGGAGAAGCAGACTCCCTGCCGAGCAGGGAGCCCGATGCGGGACTCGATCC